ACAAACGGTCATAACAAGTAATAATTTAGTGTACCGATTTGCTTCAAGTAGAAATATTCATTTGACTAAACAAACTTTGGGCTCTTTTTCAATGGTCGATAGGGAAAACATTCGGGATGCGAATGATTTCTCAAACGCACGCCATAAGGATCATACTGGTAAAATCTTTGCCAGTTCCTTGGGTGTAGTCTCCAAAAACACACGTGACTAAGGTAAATTGAAATCGTGAAAAAGATCACAATGCGTGCAGGGAGGTGAGGACCGTGAGGATTCCCGCGTGCTGGATATCGACAGATTGTTTTATATCATAAGGGTGAAACGAGCACACAGTCCACCTGATGATAAGTGGATGCTGTGACCCATAGATATCTACACATTTCCTCAATTAAGAATCAAAATGCAGATGCGTTGTCACCATAGAATACTACGAGGGTGGATTGAAAAGTACTCGGCTTAACCAAGAAAATAAACACATACTAAATCAGTTATATTTTTTTCTACATAATCACCATCAAGTTCAATACACTTTTGCCACCTCCCCCTTCCAAGCATTTAGACCGTTGAAAAAAAAATGATTCTTCCTTAGAGTCAAAATATGCGTCTACAGCTGCTTTGACCTCGTCGTTTGTCGAAAATCTTTGACCTCCCAAGTGCTTTTTTAGGTTAGGGAACAGAAAGAAGTCTGATGGTGCCAGATCAGGTGAATACGGCGGATGCGGTAACAGTTCAAAGCCACAGTTGTGAATTTCAGCCATTGACTGTACTGACGTGTGAACACGGGCGTTATCTTGATGAAACAGGACTTTTCTTCTGAGCATTCCTCGACGTTTTTCTTTTATTTCCTCTCGTAAACGACGTAGTAAGGTGCAGTAGTAATCAGAGTTTATAGTCTGACCCCTTTCAAGATAATCAATCATAATCACACCTTTCGAGTCCCAGAATACTGAAGCCATCACCTTATTTGCCGACAAAATCGACTTAGCCTTTTTAGGGGATGGTGAACCAGGTCTTCTCCACTGTTTTGATTGTTGTTTTGTTTCCGGTGTACAGTAATGAACCCATGTTTCGTCCATAGTAACAAAACGATTCAAAAAATCATCTGCATCGGCTTCAAATAACTCCAAACAGTCGCGTGAAATAGTCAATCGCGTCCTTTTTTGTTCAACTGAAAGCAGTCGTAGAAACCCACCTCGCAGACACCTTGTGGAAACCCAACTCGTTGACAATGATGTTTTGAGTTCGTTCATAAGAGATGCCTATAATCTCGGCTATCTCTCTAATTTTTAATCTGCGGTCTCCCATTATTAAATCAAGTACTTTTTTTAATATTTTCGTCAGCAGTTGACGTCGAAGGCCTTCCAGAGCGGGGTTCATCTTTCACACTCTCTACCACGCTTAAATTCTGCTATCCATTTTTTGACGGATGAATATGACAGAGCACAATCGCCTAATGTACTGACCATGTCATCATGGATGGCTTTTGATGATAGCCCCTTCTTATGGAGGTACTTAATGACGGCACGCTGCTCGATTTGCTCCATTCGCGGAAATTATGTCCGATTACTTTGTTAATAAATTTATAAAATCACAACTAATTATCGCACACGTTTCGAACTTCACACAATGAACTAGTCTGAACTGAACTAAATAATGTGGGTAGATTTGATTTTTAGAATTGAATGGATCTGTGTTAGGCCGAGTACTTTTCAATCCACCCTCGTATAATACACAATACAATGGCTGTCAACTTTATTTTGTACGAGGTTTTGCGTCGCCAAACCCGATTCGCTGTGTTGACAGACTGAATAAATTTACACATTTTAGACTTTCGATTAATGTTCAAGATCATCATTAAAAAAAATCGTTTAAGTTTTAATACATATTTGTAAATAGGGTGCAATTTGGCATTTTTTAAATAATTTACATGCGAAATTTGGAAACGATTGTAACGTCAATACACATCTCGTGTTGACATTTATACGTGTGAATTGACGTGTTAGTGACATTTTAGTGGCTAAGCGGGCTCCGCCCACTCACCCGTTCTATTATGTATGTATTATAGTATTTTATGGTTTTCACCCCTGAAGATTAAGATGAAATGCTTCATATTTAGAAAGGGTTTCCGGTTCTCTACCCTTACCATACCATAATACGAAACAGCAGCGTTATACTCCTATTTTATGCTAGTATTCTGTGAGAGCGTGGTCCTAGCCCCGGTCGGGCCGACACATTCGTAGTATAACCATAATATAAGCTGCAGCGTGGCTCTACCACGTATGTACCTACCTGCGGGACTTTGCATGCTGTATATCGACTACGCTGCTGTTTTGCTAATTTTACCTATCGTTTTTCGACTTGTAGGTAGTACCAGCTCGCGATGTACGAACTCTGGAATCAACGAATGAAAATGAGCTCATGAACATTTCTACCGTCTTCATCAAGTTTTCCTGGAGTATAGATAGTATTTTAATACTTACCTTAATAACTATCCCTAGCCCATTATATCCATAACATTCGAACAAAAATACCAACCTACGATTACTTTGGAGTTTTGGCGGGAAGCTGACTGCAAACGATGCTGTCGATTGGATTTTGATTTTTGCAATTAGTAAATTAAATCCACGTCTGAACAATAGAAACGACGATACAAACGCTTTGGTGATGATAAAAATTGCAAGACATTTTGTCCGCTTCAGTGTCGTCATGAACTCTACTGGGATAAAGTTGCCTTTGAGTGATGATTTCTTATATTTAGCAAACTAATTGAAATAATAAGTTTTTAGATGTATTTGAGTGATTTCGTAATATAAAACATCAACATACTAACAATAATTTGATGTTGCATTTGAATTCTTTTTTGGCTAAATACCTTACAGGCAATGTCACGATAAACGAAAAAAATTAAAGACATTTCTCGAAGAAACGGATAACACAGAACTTCTTAAATCATGACCCCAATTCGTAGATTTAAAAAAAAACTAATTCCCGTCATTATCAAGTCCCTTTAATTACCCGTCCAGTTCCCGGCAAGTTAAGGAGACCAGCACCAAAACATTTTTTTTACTTACCACTTGAATTGAGAAACAATTTTACTAAACTCATTTCTCATTTACGGTAGCGAAAACGCAGTTTGTTGTACATTAATCTTACCAGAACTGTTGTACTGTTATACAATGAATTAGAAATACAACAGAAAGAATATATCCCCCAAGCAGTACCAGCGACATAAACCTTCTAAGTCATTGTTAATATTAACTTGCATTTAGAATCGAACGTGAAACAGTCCAGACAGGTGTTGTCCAAACCACACAAAAACAAATTATCCAAGCCAGAGGTGAATAGAGATTTAAACACCTTTATTAATAACTTCATAATGGACTCTAAGCAATTTAATAAAGTAGCTACACCCTGCTACTTTATAACAAATCTAATAGAGCAAAATATAAAAAATTGTCTTTATTGGCCCTTTTTTTGTAATCCTAATATGAATATAAATATTTTGCATTATGCATGCATTAAAGATTTGTACTTTAAATTGATTATAATTTGTAAAAATTTTATTAATGGTTTAACATGTCAATTACAACGGTATTCAACCGTAATGTAGTGGTCATTCGTATGTTACGACTGCCCACAAAATTATTGAAATAAATATGAATAAATTATAAATTACCAATGTTCTTACAGTACCAAATAAATAAGTCAGCAGAGTTACAGGTTTAATAAAACAAAGATCACTAGCATCATATTGCGATATTTCCTATCTAACAAGACTGGCTTTTAGGTGCATAAGAGGTAACAAATATTTACATTGTAGTTAATATACAATATGTAAAAACTCTATACGATCCATGAGAGTGCTTTCAGGTTTAGTTATCGTGATGTTTTTAATTTTTATGTCATCATTTTCAAAAAATAAAATGAAATTTAATTAAATTGGGGAACTTTACGGCAAACCATGCGGTGCCTATGACCTTCGATTAATGCTAGTATCCACTAAGTAGCCTCGCTTAGTCGATACTAGCATTAAGACCGCATCACATCGAAAAAATCTGATTGTTATACATTTTGTATGGAACTGCGTCTACTAGACTAAAAATGCACTAGCTGAGCTATTTGCTGACGGATTCCGTCGCACTATGGACCGCACGCCCCCTTAAGTAGACGCGGAACACCATCAACGCACTCACATATTTTATGCAATACCAAGAAAATGGATGAGAAATTAGTTTGTTTGTATAGATTTTCATGTAAAATGGTACCTATGGAATTCTTCAAAATTTTTATAAGACACGAAAATATTCAAAGAATTTTACCAGATCATTCCGCAGAAAGTGATGAAATTCACTTCAAAATCTTTTCTTTAAAACCATAAAACAAGATTTAAAATAAATATAATTTTTGTTCAGAACTTTCCATTGATCACACTTTTTAACATTTGCCGAATTTTGAAATGAATTATAATATAAGCCGCGCAGATAGAGAATAGATCTGAAAATGGCGTCCGCTCGCATGCGTTCTCGCTCACTCTCTATCGCAGTCTATACTCACACAACGAAATACGCGCTACAAAAAAAATAGTCAAGATTCGCTTTCTACGCTACTTGACGCACTCAGAGTTATCCTTAAATTCGTTCCGTTATTTTGTTGTTTTCGTTGATATTGGGTGGGGGGGGGGAAGGTGGAGGCGGGTTTTTTTTCCTCGGTTTGTTTTTGCCTTTTTTTTTTTTTTTTTTTTTAAATATTTTAAATTTTTTTTTTTTTAAATAATATTTTTTTTTTTTTTTTTTTTTTTATTTTATTAATTAATTTTATTAAAAAAAAAATTTTTTATACTGGGGGGGGGGGTTGTGGGGCGCGGGGGGGGGCTTTTTTGGGGGGTGCGCACCCATTGTTGTTTTTGTTGAGTTTGATTGTTATTTGTTTGCGTTACGTTTGATTGTTATTTATTTTCGTTAAGTTTTTGTTAAGAACGTTGACATTTTGTGATTGATTGAACAATGGCTTCACGAAAAAGATGTGGAAAGATTCTTCACAGTGATGCAAGTGACATTGTTTACAACGTTATAAAATACTTTGACGAAGAGAAGAACTTGAAGCGTTATCATCCGTTAAAGTATAGCGCCGCACGTGCAGCGATGGCGACTAATTTATCGAGGGCTACTATATCGAAAATAAAGAAAGAAGGTAATGACATGGTACCTACACATTATTTTACGCGGTTGCTTTATGGGTGTGACCAAGATAGATAGATAAATCAATTTATTTGAAGATGATTAGCCTTACCTCTATCGAGTATGATTTTTATATAGATTTTCTGGCCTGGAAAAGAGTGTGTTTTTTTATATAAATAGCTTTTGGCCTGGAAACGAGTGCTTTTGGCAGCGAGTATGACTAAGTTCAGTGTCGCTCTATAACGATAACTGATAGTAATATTTTACTCTTATTTCAGGTCAACTTGCAGAACAAACCAACACCAAGCTCCGTACGCCGAGCAAGGGCAGAAAAGGCAAAAATAATACGCGTGTCCCCATGGAGAACTTCGATATATGAGCCATTAGAAATATTGTGGCCTCAATATACGACGTTCGAAAGGATGTACCTACGCTGAAGAAGATTCTGGCGTCAGCAAAAGCTGAATTAAATTATAAAGGCTCCAAAACGACATTAAGAAAGATTTTTAAAAAAAGCTCGGATTTAAATTTAAAAAATGCCAACAGAACCGAATGGTGCTCATAGAGCGCGATAACATAAAAGCGTGGCGAGTTAAATATTTACGCCGCCTCTGACAAAATGATGCCATGGGTGCGGAAAAAAAGAAAGTAGTATATATGGATGAGTCGTAGATCCATGCCCATTATACTGTCAGCAAGTGCTGGCAGTCATCCATCGAAAAAGGCGTTCGCAAAAATTATAGTCCTGGACAAAGGTGGGTGATGGTTCATGCCGGCTCAGAGGATGGGTTTGTGGAGGGTGCAGGATTATTATTTAAAGCTAAATCAAAAAAGGCGACTACCATGACGAGATGGATGGTAATAATTTTACGAAATATTTAAAAGAAAAACTAATACCAAATCTGCCTGAAAACTCCATTCTCGTCATGGATAATGCATTCTACCACAGTATGCAGTTGGATAAAGCGCCAACAACTGCAACCCGCAAACTGGGCATAAAGATATGGATGCAGGAGCACGGTGTCTCATTTGAAGAAGACTGGACCACAGCAGAGCTGCTCATGCAGCTAAAAAAGCATCGCCCAGAGAAAAAGTATTTGGTGGACGAACTTCTGCGTGAACATGGCCATGAAGTCCTCAGACTCCCTCCTTACAACTGCGACCTGAACCCGATAGAACATGTTTGCAATTTAATAAAACAACGGGTCGCAGATAAAAATGTGGAGCAACACGAAAATAAAATTGAGGAGTTCACAAAAGAGGCCATAGCTTCAATTACGCGAGACGACTGTAAGAAACAAGTAAACCACATCAAAAGAGTCGAAGAAGAATACTGGAATCGCGATGTAGGTAGGGAGAGTGAAATTGAGGACTTCATTATCAGTGTCGGTATGAACAGCGACAGCGAAGATGAAAGTGACGACTATGAAGACCAGGACTGTGAAGTGACCAGTCCATGGAGGATTATAATTTATAATCAATTGATGGAAGGAATTGTACCAATTATGGGTTCAGATGACCAGGATACTGCTGGACCAAGCGGTTTATAAAAACTTTTCTCCCCTGTTGGTCGTTTCAAAGCCATAAAAGTAAATTAAATTTACTTCAAATTCTCTGTCTGATTCGTACGTTTTTAAACTAAATCCTTTTCTTGTGTCTTATAGAGAACTAATAATTATTTAACTAGGCAGTTACCGCCTGTCTTGTTCAAAAACCAGCGTGAAATGATCGCACAAAACACGCGTACGCGTCGGCGGCGTCGGTCTAGTGTGCACACCTATCACACACGTCGGCGACGTCTCAGACGTGTGCGTCGGTCTAATGTAGTTCTGCCTTTACTTTACTGGCCTAAGGGATAAGGACGTGACTTTATGTATGTATGTGAGGTGGTATTTTTGTAATATGATTCTGATATGTAACAATTAATAAAGACAAATTTTAAAATCCAGTGTCATATGTACCCTTGCTCCTTATTTATTTTATTAATATTTTTTGACATTATTTCTACTATTATCAATTAATATTAAGAAAGAATAATTTATAACAAAAAATCTCAATAAAAAAATAAAAATCGATGTTTTAGAACTTGTTTTGCCAACCGTACCATGTGTACCCGCCGCCATTTTCAGATCTATTCTCTATCTGCGTGGCCTATAAAAACATTATTTTAAAGACAAATAACATTTTTTTATTAATAAAATTGCAGTTTCCAAGCAAATATGGTAAAATAATTTTGAGGGTTGGATTTAGAATCGTTGGCAGAAATTTGGAGGAGTAAGGTGTTTTATTTGGTAGCGGTTAGGTCCCCGATTATAATAATACCACTCACATTAAAAGGTAATGCACCGTTTGCGACAAGGACGTAAGACTAATGTCACATTATTCTACTGTCTATACTCTCTGTCAAGTGTCAATATTTCTCGGGAAAACGTCTCCGAGCACCAGGACAAACTTGTGTCTGAAGTGTGTTGCTGAACAAAGTCTCGGATTGGGGGCGACTAAATCTAGTCCAGTTTAACCCTCAGAAGACACAAGTTTGCGCGTTTACCGCTAAAAAGAACCCCTTTGTCGTATCTCCTCAGTTTGAAGGCTTCGGCCACTATCGGAATCCTCGGCGTCGCATATCGAGTGACGTGCAGTTTCGTGGTCACTTGGAAGAGAAGACCAAATTGGTCTCTAAAAAGCCTGGCGTGCTCAGCAGAGCGGCACCCGCCTGCAACTTTACAAGGCGCAGGTTCGGCCTCACATGGAATACTGTTCCCATCTCTAGGCTGGGGCTCCCCAGTGCCAGCTCCTTCCACTTGACCGCATCCAGCGCAGAGCGACTCGAATCGTCGACGACCGAGTGCTTTCCGATCGGCTCGATTCACTGGCGCTGTGAAAGAGATGTTGCTTCTCTTTGTCTACCACGGGGAGTGCTCCGAGGAATTGTTCGGATTAATTCCAGCCGCCAAATTTCATAAACACACTACGCGGCAAACGTCCTGATACAATCCACACCATCTGGATGCTTGGCAGTCTACCACTGTACGTTTCACTAGTTTTCTTCCGCGTACGACCTAGGGACCTTCAAGAAAAGAGCTTACTCCTTTCTAAAATGTCGGCAACGCACCTGCAAGTCCCCTGGTGTTGCAGTTGTTCATGGGCGGCGGTAGTCACTTAACATCAGGTGAACCGTATGCTTGTTTGCTCCCTTTCCCATAAAAAAGTGTCAAATCTCATGACATACAAATTATTATGCATTCCGCCGTTGGTTGCTCTTCTTGCGTGAATGTGTGCTCTCTAGTGTATTATTGTAGCTTTTATCGACGACTGTTTTCTCTTTTTTGGATATCGATTGTTTGCCTACACGACGACTTATCTACTTTTCTACCCTGGACACCGATATTCTGCCTGCTCTATTGACCTGTGCACTTTTGATTTCGATTACTTGCTTACACGACTTATGTACCTGCTTTTCAACACCGGACGCTACGCGTGTAATATTGATTCGGAGGAACCTCAGCCATCTACGAGTCGCGAATTTAACAGTGGCGAACCGCCAGTGAAACACCATTTATATGTCGAAGAGATCAGTTGTAATAGGTTGAAAGTTGTGGCGGGAGCGAAGGCAATCTGACTTTATATGTAGCTATCTCATCTGATCGAATCTTTACTAAAATAGAACGAGCACGCCCCGACTTCACGTAGTCTTATCTGACCTACTCTAGTGTTTTTGTAAAGCCGTAGGCGCGGAGGGAGAGCAGCCCCCAGCCATGGGTACCTGTGATTCGTTACGCAAGGGCGAAGGGTCTGCACTTCCCGCAGCGCAGAAGCCTTTGTAGAAGTAACTTTGGGTAATATGCCTGTGTAAAAAAGTGAGGTTATGTTTTTACAAAAAAATCCATTACTCATAAACTATACTGTTCTGCAAGGAGGGAAGAGTAGAGGGGTTTTCCCTGATAGAGCACACTCCTGCTACCCTCTTCTCACCTCCTGCCGGAGATGATAAATGTTATCATTTTGAGGTTAGGTCTATGGGATTTTCTTTTTGACTTTTCTCTAGAATAGTGCATTACCATTTAATGTGAGTGGTATTATTACAATCGGGGAGCAAACCTCTACCAAATAAAACACTTTATTCCCCCAAATTCCTGCCAAACGATTCTAAATTTCAACCAATTTTGGTAAGACTTATAGGTTATAATATATAATAATATATATCAAATATAATATAATATATTATATTTGATTTGTACTATTAAACCAATAACGGTCAATGTGTGCCGCCCTCCCCCACCATGAGTCTATGTGCTCCTTTGGGATCAAACAGTTTATTTGTTTACATATTGTATATTCTACATCATTTACTAAAAATGTAATAAATAACTCCAAGTACTATTGCTAATAAAAGATCGTAGTATATATAGCAGTTTCAATATATCCTTTAATAAACCTACATTACATCTCCACCGTCACATACTCTTGTATACAACGGAATTAAAATAAAACACTTTTTGTCACTATAATATGCAAACACTTTACACAATCACTGTACATATAGGTTACACTTCACCAAAATCTTTGCGGTCTCGGGCCCATCCATCGGTTTGGGGGCCTCGGGCCATTCCGGGGCCAGAACTGTTGCGGTCCGAAACCTTGAGGCCTGAAATTAGTCCGAGGGCCCCAGTTTCTAGGGAATCGCTGATTCATAAACGGCCGCGGGCTTTGGTTTTGCCAGTCACTATTATTAAAGTCCCCATATTCCGGCGGTGATGGATTTCGAATGCTGTCCATGTTGGGCTTGTCCAGGCCCCTACTCCTCAGATCTTCTTCAAATGAGCTGTCATTGGAGTTATCTCTTTCCTCAAAGTTCTTCTGAAATGCCATATTGAAAGGTTTCAATGCTGGTGGCATCTTTTCGAATGGATTGCTCATGGGTAATACGGGAGCTGACTTTGGTCCCTCGACAACTTTTTCTTTGTCTGGCACGCTGTTAATTTGAATGAGGTTTGTATGGTTTTGGTCATTGTGATTTGATTTTCCGTTATTCCCACCTACTAGAACCTTGTTGTTGTTGAAGCTGTGCCGACGCGCATGCTCATTTTGAGTGGGCTGGTTGGAATAAAGGGCTTCTGTGGAAAAAATACAACATTGTTTTAGACATTAAGTAGCAAAACCAAAAAAGCAGTGAATAGGCATGAGATCGTGTAACACTACACATTACTAAATTAATGAACGTCTCCTCTATACACATAATACAAGTGGTAAAATTAAAATTTTTGTACAACCGACTTCAATACAAATAAAATGAGAACATTTATGTAGTCGAAATTAATTAAATACGTATTATTAGGGATAACTCAAAAACTACCGGTCTGATCTTGATCAAATTAATAT